TTGTTTTGTTATTTTGCTGTTTTGTTTATTATGGTTGGTCATACAGTTCACCAGATGTTTAGATTGGATTTGGCATTTCTATCCACCTACTACCCAAGGACCTGGCAGATATTGTTAATTGTGTTAAAGGTATCATCACAGGATGTAGGTTATTTCTAGTAAAGCTGCCAGCTGAAATTGATTAATGGTGGGAGTATTTGAGCGTTAGATGGACTTTTTGTTATTTATATTATTTTATTTATAGCCTATTATTATTGTGTGTGGGTACTTTACTGTTAGATTCATAGCCTAAGATTGGTGGAAATGTAACAATTAAGTCCTAACCAAGAGCCTAAGAATTATTAAGATAGAGTCTAAGAACATAGGCAGTTACAAGCAGGATTTTCTTTGTTAGAAAAATTATCATTACAGACCAAAAATATTAGCTGTATTTTTAATACTTAGCAAGCTAGGTGTCATGGGATGTAATATTTGGCCATTATAATTGGGACAGGCTTAGTTTGAAGAATGGAAGATTTTATCCATGAACTTTTGAAGAAAAATCAGCTACCATCAGTAAATAGAACAAATAAAGCAAAGGTAGAAAATCCTGACATTATGGTTCTATAAAGTAGCATTTTCTAGCTATGTTTGGGCTGCAGCTTCTGAAATTACAAGCCTAAAGCTAAAAACTCTGGGAATAATAGCCTACCATATCTAAGCAGTGCCAAGTTGGGAATGTTCTTCTATGTTATAAGCACCATCCTACAAAAGAAATATTTTGACATGCCATTGTTGTTGTCTTATGAAAAGAGATTTAGTGTCATGTTGAACTTTGCATTTGAAATCATTAGGGTTTAAAGTGCCCAACTTTGGATAAGTTATATCTTTTTTCTTAAGGATTAACTACTCTTGTGTTATGTGTACATGGAACCAAAGAAAACAATCGTGCACTGGTCCTAAATCTGCTAGTTAACCAATTAACTATTTAATCCGAATATGCTCAAATGATTTTATGTGCAGTCAAAATAACAGGTGTAACTGGGGAAGATACATGGATTTTCATAAACATTGAGTCTGAACATCTGCTTCACTGAAAAAATTATATAGTTTTGAAGGAAATAAAGTATAAATCACCTGATAACTGTCAGAAATGTCCTCAAAGTATTGTCTAGGCATGTTCCAAACTAAAGTTAATGGGACTTGCATCTGCACACACTTCTGAAAATTAAGGGGTGTGATTGTTCTGAACATTAAATACTTTAATGTTTTGTACAATTTCAGTTGTGGCTAATCATAAATTTGCAGATCACATATAGATTTTCTAAAGGGATTGCAACGCATGGAATAATATTTTTCTGGTTCATATACTTGCAATTCTTTTAAAGACATATTTTTCTAAGATGCCAGATGTGATGTTAATTTCCCCATACAGTATAAAGACATTCTGATTTAAACATTAGGTGAAGACAGCTAGTGTATGCTGTAGATTATGCTAGATATTTGAAAGAACTTTGCCAGGCTACTTTCCTTCATAGGACAATCCACAAGAATGTTAATACTTCCTAGTGATAATTGTGCCAATCAGGATGGGGGTAGAAAATGATAAGAGAAACAACAACAATAAAAAACAAATAAGCAACATACCCATACATTTAATGGTATGTGGGAATGGTCTTGGGAAACCGAGCAAAGAGATGCTGTGTAGAGATCATTCAGATAAGAATGCCAGGGCTACAAAATGGTTTGAGCAAGAGTGCCAGGAGCAAGTTCTTGGGCTTTAAACGTCATGGTGGAGAATTGTAAATTCAGACTTCTAAGATTCTGCTAATGTAGCTTTACAATGAATTAGAATAAGCTTATCTGTCCTGTCTGATCTACCTGATAAGTCTGACATTTTGTTTCTATAGTCACTGTTCGAGCTACAGTTGTTGTTGCACTGGAACTTACTGTTCTGGAATGAAAATAACTGATAAAAGGACTGGCACTGCCTCCACATACTAGATTTCAGCCAGTTAATTTGTTGTAGTTGTCTTTAACAAACGACTTCATTGTTTCTTTAAAAATATAACTTTTATATCGGTGATGGAAATCCTAGTGTTGGATTACAAATGCCTTCATCACTCAGTTTGAGTTTAGTTGTGGAAGCCAAAGACATAGAAAGAACAAAGATTTTCCATTCCTGATTTAATTTCACAATGGAAAATCTTTAGTTGGAGCATTCTAATTCCATGGAAGAATCAGTGTTAGTTCAGTGGTGTAAGTAGCCCATGTCATTCCTTCACTTAAAACTGGAGATGATTTGTTAAAAATTAGTCTCCAGTAGCCTCATTTCCAATTTATATGTTATAATGCACCAAGAAATACTCAGGGCAATGTACACATTAGCTTTATTAATTGAAGTTTAGTATCGATTCAGAATCAAAAGATTCAGAAGAATCAGGAGAAGATCCAGTTGTTAAGTTTATCAGAAAATGAGTCTTTTGAGTTTTCTGAACATATAAAAAATTTACAGAGTTGTTGTTAATGATAAAAAATAGGACAAAGAACAAGTATAAGTATGATGGTTGCTTTGATTTATTTATAAAAAAATTAAGGGATTAAAACCTAAAAATAGTTATAAGCAATATATTGGTTAAACTAGTTTGACAAGAACAGAATCGAATGTACAGATCATTGTAGTAATATTATAGTAATGTTATATATTTTAGCCAAGAAAGTATTAACGTGGGCAATTTTGCAAACCGTTTTTATTATTTAGCCAAGTAGAAAGATGTATTACATAATTAAAATGTGATATATCGCAAATTTTTGTAATTTGTAATTACAAAAAAATTACAAACCAGTTACAAAAAATTGTTATCTAGTAATGAAACATCTGCAAGCAAACAAATAAGTTTAGAAAAATGCATGACAAATATTTTTTGGAGCAAATAATTAATTTGTTTGGTTCTAGGTCAACTTTAAACATAACATATAATTTAAATGTCATACCTACAAGGCACCAATAATAGTTCAGTATTGGTAGAAGGAGACCATTTCTGGGACCTGATAGGAATCTGAATATTTATCATGATTCAGATGCTAGATGTCAAATATCTTGGATTATTACATTAATTTAGAACCTAAGTCTAAATTACTTCTATTAATGGTACTTGCTGATGCATAAAGAACATGTTCAAAAAGGACATATGCTCTTTTTAATATCTTCATGTTTCTTGGCAGACATAGAATATCAAAAAGATTTAATATCTGCTTTTACTGTAGGCTTATATGTGGCGTGGCAATCCTTATGTTTTCCATTGTATTTTATTACCAAAAAATCCATGAATTTGTGTCAGTGAAAATGCTACTACACATATATTATGTTTACCAAATAATATTTCCTATTATTTGTTAATAGCCTCATTGGATTTTATTATTGCTTGCACCTGTAGAGGTGATCCCTCATTTCCCCCGTACATTCTGTTTTCATGCTCAGCTTCCTCACCTTGAGTCCTGTTTAAGTTTCTCTACTGCAAAAAAAGATTTATTTGGACAATATGCAAGTATTCATTCAGTCTCACCAAAGCATGCACATCTTTTTCCTGAAGTTAAAGCAATAATGCCTGACTGTGACTACTTTTTCTTGGCTATTTTAAAAAAATATAAACTTTAACAAATATGCATTAAAAATACAGGCAAGTTGTTTAGTGACCAAAGTTACAACAGCACTTAAAAGCATCTCCATGGTCACATGTCACTTGTCCCGGGGTCATGTAATCATCTTTTGCAACCTTCTGACAAGCAAAGTCAATGGGGAAGCCAAATTCATTTAACAACTGTGTTACTAACTGAATAACTGCAGCGATTCGCTTAACTAGTGTGGCAAGTAAAGTTGTGAAATGGGCAAAACTCACTTATCAAATGTCTCATTTAGCAACATAAATTTTGGGGTCCATTGTGATCATAAGTCAAGGCCTACCTGTAAAGAGATCAAAATAGACCCTGGTTCTTGATTAATGCAACTGGGAAAGACCAGCAGGATAGACTTATGTTCTATTATGTTTTTGAAGCTTTGCTTTTTGAGAGACTTATGCATCCTTGTGGCTGAGGATAAAGTGGCAAGATGATAAAAATCTCAGATGAGGCCCTACTCCCCTGTTTCATTCTTAACTGCAGGCAACATGTTAAGACTGCTAGCAATATTAGAATATACCAATATAAATCTATGTTTTGACATGTAATAGCTCAGAATCTTGGTAACTGCTTATTGCAGGCAGCATAGTTTAAGGCATTTTGCATAACATTTGCCTTCTAGAAACAAATAGGCATATAATTACTCTGTAATCGTATAGTAATTAATGTCTACCATGCCTATATTGCATAATTATATGCCCTGCAAATTATATAGAAATTATACTTGGATTTAGTTTGCATTTCCTCACACCCTGTTGTAGACAAAATAAACTTGTGATTTAATGTATAATTATGACTGTGGTGATGTTAAAATCTACTAGGATGCTATAACTATCTTTTGCCAATTAAAGGTTTGGGTTTTTTTTTTTTTTTTTAGAGATTGGTCCTCAAAAAAACTGTGACTGAATCAAATAAACATTGAAGTAGGTTCATATCTAGCCTTGTAGTATTAAGTTATTCATGAATTCAGCATGCCTTCTAATTCTGAACAGGAAATCCTAATGTCAACGAAGTCATATAAATAGCCTATTTAATTTGCTTCAAACATTTTGAGGCATGTTTAGGTAGGCAGTTCTGAGCCAAGATTTATTTCTATGTTCTGTAGCACCCTTAATCTACATTCCAAGTTAATCTTTGTGGCTTGAGCATCAAAACTATGATTGTAGTCTCCCCAAACTGCGAGATGGCTGGTATATAAATTTAAAAGCACTAAGCATTTATATATTTTCTTTCAGAGGCTACTTTCTGCCTTAGATTTTTTGCAATAATCATAAATTTCCCGACTTAAGTTTCAACTTGCTGCAATAATCTTTTCCTCTCCTTTTTTCTTTTTGTAAATGCAGCGGAGCCTGTCATTTCGAAAGGGAACAACTGTCTGGATGCTGCAAAAGCCTGTAACCTGAATGATACCTGCAAGAAATATCGATCGGCGTACATAACACCCTGTACCTACAGCGTGTCTAATGAAATCTGCAACAAGCGGAAGTGTCACAAGGCCCTAAGGCAGTTTTTTGACAAAGTTCCCCCCAAGCATAGTTATGGAATGCTCTTCTGTTCCTGCCGAGATATTGCATGTACAGAAAGAAGGCGACAGACTATTGTTCCTGCATGTTCTTATGAGGACAGGGAGAAACCAAACTGCCTGAATTTACAAGATACTTGCAAGACGAATTACATCTGCAGGTAAGATAACACATGACACTTGGGTGATTAATGAGGTGGTGCAAAGAACTGCTGAAATTGCCCAAGCTAGGAAACAGTATTTTCATCAGGGAACAGGGCAATCAGGAAAGAAAACTTGTCATCTGTAGCAGAATAATAAAAACAGCTAGTTGCATATCACTGAAATATCTATTATCCCTGGAAACTGTGCATGTGTTTGTATACATACCCATTTGTACAGTACCTTAATAAGAAAGAAAATGAAGTAGTCTATCCTTTCTAAACAATTCTACCATTCTAGCTGTTCTTGGCAACTGAATTAACAACTTTTAATTAAGAAATATTTGATAAAATGAAAAAATAATAATGTAGTAGCTGGTATAAGTGTAATTAGTTTTCCTAAACAAATTGTGATTGGTTCATAGCTTGATGTGGCTTCTGATATTTAAAGCAAGAAGAGGGAAGGTATTGAATAGGCTGAAATGGTAAAAAAGACAATTTCCAAGAGATGATACACATCACTCATTATCAGTGAAGCAAACTTTTTTTAAAAAAATGTCAAGGAAATCTTGGTATTGTAGGAGGCTGATGAAATACTATTTAAAAACAACAACAACAAGCGATCATCCAAAAATATACTCAAATCTTCTTTAAAGCCCAGACTGGAACTGTAAATTCAAAATTCCATTTTCTATTTAATTTTTATGTTGCAGTATGCAGGCTTTTTATTTATTTAAGACTACTCAAGTTTGTATGTTTCATCAAAACATCAACAAGTTAGAACATCAACGTATGACATCAATTTTATTTGTTTGTTTAAAAAAAACTACTTTGGGAACATACCAACTTCAATTACATAGAATCAAGTTGAAGCATTAAATAAATATGATAAATAAATAAACTTTAGTGAATTTTTTTTGGATCTTCTAATAAAGAGGCCATTTCCTCATTAGTGATTTATACTGCCAAGCACTCACCATTATTTCAGTATAATCAAAAAAGGTCATAACATAACTATGGTCATATTATGATGTAAAGACTTTTTAAAATCATTGGTGAGATAATGGCCATTATCCCTGCTTTTCACACATTTATTATTTAAATCATTTGAAGAGTCTGGGTTTCTTTTATGTATAGTTCTTCTGATTAGTACAGCTCTGAAATAATATTTCCAACTATATGCTTCCTAGCTGTGTAGCTATTTTCATGAAACTGACAACTAGAATACTGGTACATTCTCTGATTGTTGAAAAATAGGAAATCAAATGGTTAACCAAGATTGCCTCCTCTCTGAAACTGCAGCATGTTTTTTAAGTGCCATCATTACTCCACCTGCTATCTTCATTCGTTTAGGCATCCAACTTTCTAAATGCTATTTCATTTTCTCACTTTCCCTCGTCTTTCTTGACTTTGCATTCCCATCATTGCACTTTCCATTTCCTTAGTCAAAAAAAATATGTTATTGCTATTTTTTGAAACCAGCAGGAATATGAAAATGGATTTTTGTGCAGATTACCTATTACAGTTCTCTTTCCATTGTAACTTCTGCTTGTAGGTTTTACAAGCAATAAAACAGTCTGGCTGTTCAGGTAATTGTTTCACAGCTAGGTTACCTTTGCTTTTTCATCACTTGTTTGCTGTAATATTAAATAATGATTTGCATGTGCAAAACAGGTTATATCAGATGGCTGATTACTGGAATTGTAATGCTGTGAGACGCTTTTGGACATACAATGATAAGTTCCACTCTTAATGGTTAGAGAATTAGCAAATCAAAGGTGTTTTTTTTTTACTATGTCTTGTTTGTTATTTTTGTCCCTTTGAGTGCCTTTGTTGAATTTTGGCAATTACTGTGTTTGGTATTCTCTAATTTTAATGGTAAATTGGATTATTCTGTCTGTTTTAAGAAGTGTTTGAAGCCATTAGAATCATTACTTTTTCCTGTCCTTTCCATTTTTATTTCCTGCTTTCTATAATAATCAAAATTAAACCTGTACATCAAGATACTTTCTAAAAACAATATTTTGCAATGAAGCTAAGTACCTTATAGTGCCATAGGTGAGTTTTTGCTGTGTCCCTAGAGCCGAAACACATGTGAAAACCCTTTGCTAACTTGAATATTGGCTATATTAGAAATATAGAGAGTATTAGTTTTCAGAAATATGGAAAAAATGATATGTGAATATACTGTAGAGGCAACATTATTTTCTTTATGCACTGCACAGCTCTTAGCCTAGAGGTCATTTCCTATCTATCTACTCTGCTATGAAGAGCTTCAGTGCAGTGTTTATTTCTAATCATATTTTATTATTTTATTGATAGGAATATAATATCACCAATTTTCAATCATATTATGTCTTCTCTTATTTTGAGAAACTGATAATCAGTGCTGCTTATTGACACTGGAAACAATCTTGGCCTTATAAGCAGAGAAAATTCCATCAGTCTCGTTTAATGACACAGGGACAATTTATTATGTGGTTTCTAAAAGCTTTTCCAGAACACTGATGACTAGGGGGAAAAAAATCAAGGTAGACAATTTAGCAAGCCTGTGAACACTGCTTGCCCATTTCAACATTGCATGAATATAAATTTGCTGGATTTACTCCACTGAATATACTAAACTGGAAATAGCTGGACTTGAATATAAAGATGGTTTCTTTTCCTTGTCATTTTGAAACACACACAAACACACTCAGCTTAAAAGCCTTATACAGGTAGTCCTCGACTTAGAACATTAGTGACTGTTCAAAGTTACAACAGCGCTGAAAAAAATGAATTATGACCATTTTTCACACTTATGATTGTTGCAGCATCCCTGTGGTCACAATGATCAAAATTTGGATGCTTGGCAATTAGTTCATATTTATGACAGTGATCCCCTTTTCTGACCATCTGACAGGCAAAGTCAATGGGAAAGACAGATTCACTTAATAACCAGGTTACTAATTTAACAATTGCAATGATTCATTTAACAATTGTGGCAAGAAAAGTTGTAAAATGGGGAAAAAATCACTTAGCGACATAGGTTTTGGGCTCAATTGTAGTCATAAGCTGAGGACTTACTTGTATTTTCTCCTGGTGCTTTTTTTTTTTTTACCAACATTCTTTTGGTTTACATTTATCTTTTATTCAATGCTCTAGGTTGAAAGCATGCATGACATGAAATAAATGAGGAGAGCAGTGCACAGTTGCCTTATAGGAGAGATGGGTGGCATAAAAAATTAATAAATAAATTAAATAAATAAAATCACAAAAGATTGGTGATTTTGCATATTACTTTTGGTTTTTTTTAGAAGAAATGTCAGGAGAAAAGAAAACAAATAAGTGGAAAGAAAGGTCTCACCTGATTGGATTCTCCCTATTAGTCGTGCATGTAGGAAATCCTCATTTTATGTACCGTATGTTTCATTAATGATAGGAAATATGATGATTTACTATCTCACTTTATATATTGGGGGTTTTGTTTGGAATATAATGGGAGGAGGCTTAGAACAAGTTATGAAAAGTTTCATTACTTGGATCAGATAAAGAGACTTTTAAGATAATAGGCTTTGTGTTTATAGCCAGATCCCCTTTGTAGGCCCGCTTGTTTAGATAACTTTTGTTTTTTTAATTTATTATTTAAATAACTATTGCCTTTGCTTTTCAGCCACAAGCTACTAACAAATAAATATGTAAATGTAAAAGACATGGCAAATAAGGAGAAAGAAGCAAGAAAGGAAAGAAACAAATAAACTTGCACTGATCTGTTCGCTAGTTGGGTAATGAAGCAAAAAACAAAACTCAGAGAACATGAAGGACTCCACAGAATATTCAGTGTAATGGTTTCTTCCAGTGATAATTGATGGCAAGAAGAGCTTGATGCTTTTCAGCATAACTTTTGGTGACCTTGTTTTTCTTCATTTGCTCTGCTCAAATTTATCCATATTCATTAACTACCTTTGCTGCCTTTTCCCTCCTCAGAAAGGTTGGGAAAATGATTCCAGTGTCCCAGTGCTGTGATCTAAAAATGCTAAGTCTGTTAAGACATTGCAGGGGCTAAATGAAAATAATTATATCCAATGGCCTCTAGGCACTTCTTTTGGACATTGAGAGTTGTGTTTAATTTTGTTTTCTAATTGAAGGAAATAAATCAACTGAAGAGCATGTATAGTAACTTCTGGGATTCCCCACCTTTAGGAAGGATCATTATCTGTATAGGTGCTTCACATATTAAAACAATAAATAGAACAGTTTACACTTGGAATATATAAAGTCCATTGCTGAAATCCCAGAGTTCTTCCACAGGCTCTTTGTGTGCTTCCAGTGTCCATTAAGAGAAAATGGACTAAAAATGCTGACATGCAAACAGTTTCCTAGCTTATCTTCCTTTAGCCTTTCACTGACACCTTTTCCTTTGAGATCATACAGACACACACTGTAAAAGACTATATTTTAAATATTTGAGTCACACAGGAACTAATGCCAGAACGAAAAGCGTGGTTGTTAAGTAATCCTTACATTCTGTTATTCCTTTGTCATAATATCCCAAATAAATATTGGTATCTACCAATGAGAACTGGAAGCATGATCTTATTAAATCAAAAGCTCGCCCCAAAAAATGATATATTCTTTGAAATATAGCACCAATCAGCTGAAATTTTACAATCCTTGAGTAAAAAATGCAAGAAATGTAGTAATCTAAATGACATTTATTTTTAGTATTTCATCAGTTTTGCTCTTAATGTTTAAAAATATTAAACTATATAATAGTCCTGGATAGTCCATTTGATTACATTCTCTTGTTTGACTTAGCTTATTCTATTTAGGAATGTCCCTTATGATTGATTATATGTGAATCTACTCTGTGTGCCAAAGTAGTGCCACAGTTATACTTGATTCCTCTTGTTGATTTCTTTATTTCACTTTGAGTTAGGACATTGTTACTAGTACTCAGGGCCTTTTTTCTCATAGAACGCTCAGAACGGCGTTCCAGCACCTTTTTTTTTGGATGGAACCTTGTAGGGTAGGCAAGGCGG